CCCAGGCTTTTAATGGGTTGCTCAGAGAGGAGGGGGATTTTCTCACCCCCTACGACAAAGGTGGTGCTGTCGTTTCTGACTCCTCTTCTTAGAGACAGGCTCCGTGACTTTGCTGGCTTGAACACGAACAGGATGGGAGAGATGGCGCACCCCATAGCAATTCCTACTTCTAGCTGTTGCCAGCTGGTGGTGAAATCTTGGAGGGCAAAGCACATCTGCAGGTCATTGAAGTAGGATGCAACCATGTTCTTGATGCAGGCAGGCATGTGGAAGAACTAGTTATTATATTCCATTTCTGCCAATAGATCCTCCTAAATGTTGCACAGTCCCCCGTCTCTCTTTGATTCTGTTCAATAATGCAGTCTGCACTGGCTACTCGTTTATTTTCACAGCTACCACATTCCTTAGTTAGGAAAAGAGTGACCTGGTATTTTCTCTCTTGTAATAATATTTCTTTTCTATTTAGCCTACATGATTTTTAGAACAGTAAAAATATTATTAGTGGGGGAACCGTGGAAGAGGTGAGGAACAAATTCATCCATACTCACACAAAATAAGCAACTCAATGCATTAAAGGTCTAGTGTGTAACATTTAGGAAGATCTATTGTAGGTGAAATGGAATATAATTAATATTCATAGGTATGTTTTTATTAGTGTATAATCACCTGAAAATAAGAATCGTTGTTTGTATTACCATAGAGCCAAAGGGTCTTCCTCTTTGGTGGCCACCATGTTGAACCATCATATTTCTACAGTAGCCCAAAACGGACAAATTAAACTCTGGCTCTAGATACAGTCTTTCGCGTCCTTTGGTGAGTTTGTGAGCCACCATAGTTGCTGCTACACGCTTGGAAGACTGAGCTGTATTCAAATGCAACTGCAATCTCTAACGTTACCACTAGATGCCACCAAATCCTACACACTGGTCCTCCAAAACATCAGTCCAGGACGTTTAAATTGTCATTTCATCTGTACAGTAGCCCCCAAAAGCTGTTCAACTAGGCACTGGAAAACTTAATGAATTTTGATGTCTACTATCCATTTCCAGATTTAGCTTGCTGGAACGTCTTTTATTTAGATTCCTGTGAAAAAGACTGCTTGGGGTGTTTTTGTTGTTGATATGAGCCAAATGTGTGTGCGATTCTGTATACTCTCTCTCGACATGTATATACACACTATGTACAGTATATGTGTGTGTATTTCAGGGGGATGTTTCTTGATGCAGAGAGGCAAAGGGAGCAGTGCTTGCCTTTGTGCTTATTTTTAACACTGTGACTCAGTCTGAGTCAACTTTATTAAAGATCCCTCTGCAGTATTTGTGAATTCATTCATACAGACCCATTCATTTATTTAGAAGACTTCTATTTCACAGTTGCCTCCTCTGGAAAGGTGAAAATTGACTTTGTGCTCTAAATTATTCCTAAAGAATGAAAACAAAATAGGACATCGCCTTACATAAACAAGAGAAATGAGTGCATCAGACTCACTACAGAGCTGTGTTGATCAACCCCAAGCCATAGACATAGCCCAAATTCTCTTGTCACATTATTTTGTCAGGCAAACAGCAAATATCCCCTGGTCTACACGGCTGTTTTGCTCATGTAGTCTGTTACTTCCTGAATGTAACACAATGAATAAAATATACCTGGCTCTTTCTCACTTCAGAAATGCTCTGTTGAATGTTATTCTCATTGTTGTCAGTAGCCTTATTGTTATGACTAGATACTCTTCAGAGTACTTTTCTCAAAAAGGAAACTATTAGTCAATGCATTTTTTTATGCTCTGTGTCTGTTGTTCATTTATGATGTGTGGGTGTTGTGTCTGCATTTCAGCCAGCTTAATTACAGCTACGATACTGTCAACTGCTGTTATATGATGATGCTGGCTGATATGTGATATTTTTGATATTCTCTGCATTACACAATGACAGTCTAAGTATGGTAAAAAATAAAGACATGTATTTTGATGTTGGTCTTGTTTTAAGTGCTATGTCGATAAGGAATGTAGTATTTGTGTTTGGCTTAAATACTAGTAAAGAACATCTATATATGTTGTCTTCAGGTCAGTGTCTGCAGGCCTCAACTCTCCTGCCAAGACCAACTCTATGGAAAAGAAACTGCACCTTAAAAGCAGAGAACTACAAGAAACTCAAGACAAATGTCACAAGGTGATGGTGTTAGCCTTTTTATTCATGTTTAACTATTTTATCACCAGCCGTTTTGACAAAAAGGTTACTTTTTTCAAGCGCAAGCGCTGCTCCATCGAGCATGCCAGAGATAACTGGGGTAAGACCCCAAAGGCTGACTGGAAACTGTACAATTGTATTTTTCGTATTTCCATATTGTAGAAAATTGTTTTGAGAAAAAAAAATATTCCATCATGGGTTTTATTACCAGACGTCCTGTGTTTATTCTGGCTGTCCGGCTTAACACAGATCAAGCAAACGTCTGCTGCTGCTGTAAGAAGCCAAGTTGATCTTGTTGTGTGTACAACATTACAACTACATTATTTTCTTGAAGCGAGTTGCATAATAAGTAAAATATCTTAACTATTATCAGAATCTATGGCTGGTGGACAATCACCACTTTAAATACCATAACATTTCTGCTGCATTTAAAGCATCAAATGTAACAAACAAAAAAACAACAACCTAAAGCTGCAATGAAATTGTGCTGTTTCCTCTGGTGTGTCCAGATGGAGCAGGAGATCTCCAGGTTCCAGCGTAAAATGACTGACCTGGAGTCAGTGCTCCACCAGAAGGATGTGGAGCTGAAGGCATCTGAGACCCAGAGGAGCATTCTGGAGCAAGACCTTGCCACCTACATTACTGAGTGCAGCGTGAGTCATAATAACAACTGTGTCCGTGTGTGTACATCATTTAAAGAAATGTTTAAACATAATAATGCTCTTACATTATGTTTTTTTACATATTGGTGTACTTGCTTGTCGCTATCTTCAACATCTCAAAAATAAGTATTGATTTGAACCAACAGCAGCCTTGAGTTTGTGTGCACATATGTGTTTGCAGAGCCTAAAGCGAAGCTTGGAGGAGGCACGTGTGGAGGTCTCCAGAGAGGATGACAAGGCCATGCAGCTGCTGCACGACATCCGCGAACAGAGCAACAAGCTGCAGGAAATTAAAGAGCAAGTGTGTAAATCTTCTCATTCACACAGTCCTCTGTCTCCTCCTTCTCATCACAATAATGATGTGGTGCATTTGGATGTCTTTTTATAAACACTTCAAGGTATTTATACTAAGAAATGTGTAGTGAAAGGGGGGAAATGCCTTCATACAGCATCCACAAAGCCACCTTCTTATTTGAGGAGATTCTTCCACTTAACAGTGTTGTCTTTATTTTATTAAAGTTGATAAAGGAGTAACTGAAGCAACAGTGCGATTACTCTCTTTGCAGTGCTCCCCTGTTACACAGGCAGGGCTTCCCCTCTGAGGACTCCCTTGTCCTCAACACTCATAAAGGTCATCCTTGCAGATAGAATCCCTGCAAGGTACAAACGTACAGAACACTTTTATCATTGCTCAAAAGATTGGGGAACGACATGCAGCATTTACAATTTTTAAATCAACATTTCTGATTTAAATTAAAGTTGAATGGGCAAAAACACAAACAACAAATGCACCTGTCATATTGAGACACAATTGAGTAGCCTTATTTAAATTGGGTGAAAGTCTCTTGCAAAGTCTCTGCAAAGATTTTTATAGCCATAAGCAATTATTTTTCCTTGCGCTTGAAGTCTCTGTAGTGCAAAGTTGCAAACTAAAGCTTTAAAGTGGTAATCCTAGAGTTGTTATCTTTGATTTTGACACTTTTGGTGATAAATGGTCATTGCTGCAGTGCACTGCAGTTTCTATAGATCACTGCACAATGAAACAGTGTCAGCATATCTGTGAAGTATATCTTTGTCTGTATAGCATTGGCAGCAATTGTTGCCTGTGCTCAGAGCTCAGCTCCTCTGTGCAGGCTGTGCCAAACCTCCTTTGCTGTTGTTTCTTGTCAACACATAAAAACCTGCTAGCTGTTGTTTTGTTTTTATGGGAAAAGCCTAAATAGAACAGTAAATAACACACTGGATATACTAATTTCCTGAAAGTTGGAATATGTTGAAATACTGCTGAGTTAATAATATAAATCATTTTATAAATAACCATAATAATGGCTCATTACTTGAGGAGTTGTACACGTGTTTCCTTACTTCCTTAAAAAAAAATTTAAAACTAGTAGTTTTCCATTACTGAGAAAGAAAAATATGTTTTCCAAGAGATACAAAAAGCCCACCTAAAGAAGTCCTAATATATCATTGCAGTTCAGTCCAATACACAACACTGTTATATATTAGATATACAGTGCTATATAAAGGATGTAAAATGATCAAAGTGGTGCTGAACTTAACCTTATATGTTCATGAACAGTCATTGTGTGGAGTGCAGTTTTTTTCCATATTGATGACTACTGTGTGCTGTCTATACACTCAGGAGTACCATGCCCAGCTGGAGGAGATGCAGGTGACCATCAGGCAGCTGGAGGAGGACCTGTCAGCTGCCCGGCGCCGCAGCGACCTCTATGAGGCTGAACTTAGAGACTCTAGGCAAACAAGTGAGGAGCTCAAAAGGAAAGCTGTGGAATACCAGCAAAGAATCCAGAAGGTATGTTTGCATCAGACATGCTTATAGGTCATATAATGTAAATATGCGTCAAGTAATATGCTGATAATTCACTCTTTGTCCCTGAAACATATTACTCGTTGTCTTACCAGCAATCTTGGCAATAATATTCAATGAAAAAAAGGTGGCAAAGAAACCTCACAGTTCACTAACATTACTCAAATCTCTGTGAAACAAATGTAAAGTACAAGTTATTTAGTTTGTTTTTCTGTCTTAACTGTAACCTTAGAACAACTGTAACATTTTGTTATCTACATACTCAAAACATCAAAAACCAGCTAGATAAAATGATGTCTTTCTTTTGAGTTTTTCCTCTTTGTCTAGGCTAACTGCTGAAGTCATAGCTCATAAGAGCCAAGCACGCGATCTGCAAAGCACTGTCCTTTCCTCTTTGGTTTGTTTTGTAGTGTCATTATTACATTACAGCATTATTAAATATAAAATTCCTGTCCACTTCTGATATCTGACCGACTAATGCACCTAAATGCCACATTAATTATGTTTGATGCTACACTACTTGTAGCTGGTGCCTCAAACTGACACTTAAATATGGGATATTCATTTTCAGCCTAAAAATAAAACCATATCTCCTCATGTGGAATTTCTCAAAGGCACTGGTTTAAAGATTTTCAACACTCAAAAGTTACTACAGTCTAAGAAATCTTGAGATATTTGAGAACATTTTGGAGGTGTTGACACACTTGACTGGGAGGAGACCCCAGAGTGGATCCAGGGCATGCTGCTGGAATTATTACATCTCCCTTTTGGCCTGGAAGTTCTTGGAAATCATTTTAGGAGGAAGTAGAGGAAGTTAATAAGAAAAAGTGTGTCCTTGGCTGCTGTGCTTGACCCTTTGCCACTGCAACCACTAGAAAGTGGATGGATTGTACTTTATTCATCAGTCTCGAATATATGCCGATTATTTTTCAGGCTAAAGAGCAGGGCAAAGCCGATGTGGAGGAGCTTCTCTCCAAACTAGAGAAGGTAATAGATCAGGCTTGTCAGATTCATCTAACATTTTCAGAACTGCTGTTAACCTAAAGTTTCTTAAATGGGTTTCCTGTACTTTTTTTCAGACCAATTCTGAGCAACAGGTAAAAATCCAGGAACTCCAGGACAAACTGTCCAAGGTAAATGAAATATCATATTTATTTTATTATTTGAATATTGATTTATTTATATTAAGATTATTTGTTCTTTAAACAAATTAATCCTTTTCATTTGTCATCCCTTCTAATCCTCTAATCAGATCTGTATAGCTTATGTATATACAGAATTGAGCAGTTTTCTGATTTCTGCAGCCTGCTGAAGTTCTCCATTTATTCCTAAGAGGAGCTTTTTTACAATGTCACTGTGTGTAGGAATTGCCCAAGCATATCAAGAGGTTTATCTTGGGATCCACTAACAGCCCTTGACCTCCTGACCTCCCCTAGGCAGTGAAGGCGAGCACAGAAGCCACTGAGCTTCTGCAGAATGTTCGGCAGGCCAAAGAGCGGCTGGAACGAGACCTGGAGCGCCTGCGAGGCAAAACCGACTCTAGTGACACTTTAAAACGCCGCCTGAGAGAGACAGAGGTACCAGAGTGAATCATGCAAATTAGTCAAATAATACTGGTTTGTTTGTTAAATACTGCAGCCCAACACAAAACACTCTTTTCTGTGTGTTTATGTTGTTGTTTTTGTTGTGTAAGCAGGAGGGCAGGAAGACCCTGGAAAACCAGGTAAAGAGGCTGGAGATGGTTGAGCGGCGGGAGAATAAGCTGAAAGATGACATTCAGACCAAATCCCAGCAGATCCAGCAGATGGCTGAAAAGATCCTGGTGAGAGAGCTAGAGATCAGGCTTGCTAATACTCTGACCCACTCAATCCTTAATTTCACCCCCCTGCCCACCCCTCCCATTCATCCAACCCTCTCTCGGTCTCTCCCTATCAGTGATCTTAGAGCAAGTGTACACACACTTATGTTCAGAAAGGTCCTCACACGTGGCGACTAGTCGACCAGTGTCTGTATATACATAGATTTTAACATACACATCATTTTGCCAGTGTCAGCATGAGCAGGCACCGCTACAGCCGACTTGTGGATTTCCAGCTTTTTAATGCAAGTCTCTTAATTTCTTATGATTTTTAGTTTTTTTGTATTCTGTATTAATGTGATTTATTAGAATAGCTTTCACACTGTTTTTCACTAGATCATGCTTTCACATCAGGTTTTTATGTGTGTGTGTCTGTGTTTTTATGTGATATACAAAGAAAGCTGTATATGTAGTGTATTTTGGATTTATGGTTATTTTATTAGATGTGTCCCGTTATATATGTAATGTTACTCTCTCCAGGAACTGGAGGAGAACCTGCGGGATGCCCAGTCGACAGCCCAGAGAATGGAAACCCAGCTAGTTCAAAAGGAGAGGCTTTATGAAGACAAGATCAAGGTGGGCCAGGCTTATATTGCCCAGGTTACAGACATCTGTATATCACTGGGAATGTTTATATATATATATATATATATATATTATAATATATATATATATATGAATTTCTGTGTGTGTGTGTGTGTGTAGTAATTCCTATTCAGTCCTGCCTGTGGTGTCAAATAAGTCAGAGCCGTCACATGTGTTACACTGCTGTTTGACACAACACTAATTACTGCTTCCACACCAGCGTTTGTACTGCACATTGACAACCATGTCAGCATGTGATTTTTAAATTTATTTCTATGAGTGCTTTATCACGTAGCAAATTACTGGCTTCAACCTAAATGTAAGGTTTTCAAGTCAACACTTGCAAGTGTAATATTTGATGGTTGTGTCCGATCAAGGTTCTGGAGGCCCAGATGAAGGAAGACCTGGCTGACAAGGAGAGCCTCGAAGCCAGAAGGGCCCAGCAGGAGGAGGAGTCGAGGGAGAACTGCAAACTTATCAGTGAACAGAAAGCAGTAAGGAAACACAAAATGCTTTTAAAACATTACACCCACTCAGGCATTCTCTAGTATAATTTCTATCTAGATTCAAAGTATTGTATATTGCCACTGTCTAATACCATAATTTAATTTACTAAACCATTTTGCAGCAATAGTAACAGCTGCATTGTAAATTATTGTTTGTTTTTCCCCTTTCAATTATATTATGCAAGTCCAATGTACAGAATAAGTCTCAATGGGTTAAAGTTGGTGAACATGTGATGCTTTTTCATTCTCCTTTGAATTTGTTGTCAGAATTTGACAACTAGACTCCATTAATGCTCTTTGTTTCTTTACACAGTAATTTGTCATAGGGGTAAATGCGTTGGAATGTACAGTTGGAATAAATTGCAGTATACTTCATGTTGCACTCTAAAGCCTAGGCTCAAGTCCTAATCTGGTTAATGTGGTAGAATTGAGGCAGTTAAGAAGCTTTTAGAGGCAGTCATCTGACATTGACAGTAGAAGGTTCAGGCAACACCTTAATGGACTCTAATAGGATTTCATTGCCGTACAAAATTCAGTTTCCTATTTAAAACCTTGTGCTGCTGTACACCATGATCCTTAGTAGGATTTGACTATCAATCAAAAGGGAATCTATCCTTGCATTTGAGCCTGTTTGTTGGGATTTGATTTCCACCATGTTATTTTGTCTCCCCCATCCTACAGACCATTAATGCTATGGATTCCAAGATGAAGAACCTGGAGCAGCGCATCGCTGAGCTGTCAGAGGCTAACAAGCTGGCCGCTAACAGCAGTATCTACACCCAGAAGAATATGTGAGTTAACTAGACCTTCTGCCCACACTGCTTCTATGAGTACCCCCACCCACACTGACTCTGTCTCCTCGAGCCTCCAATTGCTTCATTAGTGTGAACTTACATCTTCGTGCACCACAACTCATCGGTCTCCCCTGTATGTAAACTGTGCACCATCCCTCAGGTTAAAGCAGCTATCATAGCTATATTTTTATCATAACAAAATGAATTGATAATGTGAAAACAGTGTGACATTGTGAAACGTATCACTCTTAGTGATGGTACCTACAGAGAATTAACACCTGAACCTGCAGCACCCCTTGGCTTTATGGAACTTTATAGCGAGTTTTAGCTCCCTGTTTAGCTGCCCGGACGCAGCTTTACTGGAATTAGTAACAATGTAACTTGTTGGCTCATTAATTTGTATTCTACTTAAAACTAATAATCTAAATGTTTTTATATGTTGAATATATCCTATGAAACGCTGCAGAGAGTTGCCTGCTTTTAAATAGTCATCGGTGTGTATATTTTTTTCAGGAAAGCCCAGGAGGAGATGATCTCAGAACTTCGGCAGCAAAAGTTCTATTTGGAGTCTCAGGCAGGCAAGCTCGAGGCCCAAAATGCCAAACTGGAGGAGCACCTGGAAAAGATGAGTCAGCAGGAGCAGACCAAGAGGACCAGGTTGCTGGAGTTGGAGAGTAGGCTGCGGGAGGTAGGGCAACAGGAAGCGTAGCTCAAATCTGTTAGCTCAAGGTTAAGTAATTCACTTTAACCAGCACACAGTGTGGCCTTTCATTATTACTATCCACAGAAGGGATTAAGGAAGTTGATCAGCTAGCGAGCTGAGATCCCTTTCAGATAAACGGCTAATTAAATACTGTAGGTCTGTCTAGCGAATAGTTTACGTTTAAACTGGAGGACATTGGTTAAAGCTCTCTGGAGCAAGATGCTATTTGTCTTTCAGATCTAGGCTGCAGTCTGACCTCCCTGTGAAAGCTTAGAAGAACTCTTTAAGATTCAATGATGTCTAACATTCATACATTAAAGTTAGTTGAAGAAAGAGATTTTTTCCTATTTCCTATTTTCCTATTTCCATTGGCTATATGTGCATTCAATGCAAATAATTCTATAAAAAGAAGTTTTGACAGAATTGAGAACCACATTGCCCCCTTTCTCCTTTTTGAGAGCTCTCACCCCTGGTGTGCTGTCTGCCGATTTTACTGGTGGACAACCTGCTGACTAGATGTCATATCTCTACCTGCCTCTACCACACACTCTTCCCCACTGAGACGTGATACACAGATTGGCACTAATTGCTGGCCTTTCTGCACTCTCACATAAAAAACACATACTGTCTTCTCCCACACACAAATATGTATATTCAGATGAGATCCACCGGAAACCTATGGAGCAGCTGAATGCACCCATGTGTGTCTCAGCTTATCTTTTTCATTCATGACTCTTTTCCAGCACAGTGTGTATGTGTTCTTTTGAAAAGCTTTAAAAAGTCTTAAATTGTTTTATTTTTCATTCTTAACAAGTATGGCAGTTTAAATCCAATTACTTCGCTGTGCACTGTTTCTCTGTGCTGTCCAATTTTTGTACTTTTGCAATAGTAGAGATTATATCTGCTTTTCTATATCTGCTAGTTGGACTTGTGCCCTCTTACATCTGCTTATTATTCTCCCACTGCCCAACTTTTTCTTTTACTGCCCACCCAGCTTGCATTACTTCATCTTAATCTTCTTTCATCACTTTTTTTAAGTGGTCTTTAGTTTTTTAAAAAGGTTCCTGAAAGGTCTGGAAATTGGCTGTAACATACTGAAAGCAAAGGTAGCCAATATGTAGTTGTATAAGTAACTTTAAGTTTCACATTCATGTCAGTTATAGCAGAAAGTCAGAATCAGAATCATCTTTATTTGTCATTGTCACAGGTACAACGAAATTGCTAAAGTGTTCGCACAATAGTGAGATGTGGGTCAACTGGTTTCAAGCAGTCCCCTATGTTGATGTTAATCAGTTTTTAGATTCCCTCCAAATCACTGAATCACCCTGATGTCCTAAAACGCCAACCATCTGGTGCTCTGAGTGGGTTTAAAAATGCTGAAAATTATATGCAAATACAATCTGTTTTCGGTCTGATTTACACTGTGATGTACACATAGCATTCACCCTAGTCCTGCTTCTTTATAGATGGGCTTAGAACATGAAGAAGAGAAGCTGGAGATCAAGAGACAGGTGTCAGAGTTGACCCTCTCCCTGCAGGAGCGTGAATCTCAGATTAGCAGCCTGCAGGCTGCCCGTCTAGCCCTGGAGAGCCAGCTGCAGCAAGCAAAGACTGAGCTGGAGGAGACCACCGCTGAGGCCGAGGAGGAGATCACCGCCCTCAGGGTAAGACAAACACATGCAAGCACATATGTGTGCGATCACAGTCACGCATAGACATACAGGTGCACAAACATTCAAACAAATACATTTAGATGTAGGCAATCTGTATTCTGCATGCAGTCTGAAGGAACGCTATTATGAATAATGCTGTTAACATAACATCATTCTTCATTTATGTAGTAGTCAGATGTGGTTGTAATTTTGCTCTTCATTTGCTCTTGTTTCACACAGAATCACAGAGATGAGATTCAGCGCAAGTTTGATGCCTTGAGAGACAGCTGCTCAGTAAGTGCTGTCACAGCCCTTTGTCCCTGCTTTCAGCAGCACAGAACTTTTTTTCAAAAGGTTTCACAAGACCTTTGAATGTATGGTGATTCATGTTCAATTCTAAAACTCACAATGTAGCAATGCAATCTACTGAATCAAGTCTTTGGCAGAGATGCACCGCTAGCTTTCATAGTGCATTTTTCTTTGTCCAAACACTTGAGTCCATGCAGGACATTTTTACATATACACATTTAAATGGAGATAGTTCAACAAATTTCAAATAAAACAACTCAGAGATGCTTTTTAATATTTGACTCATTTAATTAAACATCCATTTTCTAATTCATACATTACACACATTAGTCTTTTACTCACTATCAGCGTAGACATTAATTTGTGTCATTGTATTTATTGTCTCTATTTTTATCTTTATATTTCTCTATGAGTAATGCAATGCACCAATTTACCAAAGCAAATTCCTTCGAAAACGGCTGCTTGTCAACGTGAATGCCCCGCTTGTTCTGATTCTGATTCTGTAAAGCTGTACATTTTCAGTATTCCAGCTGTGCTATCACTGTACTTGATATGCTATTCTGCCTCTGGCATTTGTGGCCAGGACCTAAAAATATCTGTTCACTTCCGTAAGTAAGGCTAACACCTCTCTACCTGTTTGTATGGCTTCAGGTGATCACTGACCTGGAGGAGCAGCTGACACAGCTGAGTCAGGAGAATGCTGAGCTGAACCGGCAGAACTTCTACCTGTCCAAACAGCTTGATGAAGCTTCAGATGAGCGGGAGGACCAGCTGCAGCTTAGCCAGGAAGTAGACAGGCTGAGGAGGGAGGTGGCTGACCGCGAGATGCACCTCAACAACCAGAAACAGGTAACATATACACACACACACACAGGCAGATAAATGCTTGAAAGCTCTTAAATATAATTAACGGTATAACTACAGTGCCTCATACTGGTAGATATAGTGGAAAGTTGAAGATATTGTTCAGTTAAAATTTCTTCAGTGTGTTATCTTTCAGCAGGGCAACAGACTGTAAGTAATGTTGTGCTTTTAACCTCATTTATCCTCATGTTCCAGTCCAAAGATGTAATGGACATTTAAACCTCATTACAGAGACTGTGTCCTGTTACTGAAAATGCAGGAAAGATGACAATCACGTGGTTGTGCCAAAAGCTGTGAAAGATGTTCAGTCTGCTCTTTCGTTTATCCTTCCAGAACATTGAGACACTGAAGACCACATGCAGCATGCTGGAGGAGCAGGTGGTGGAGCTGGAGTCGCTAAACGACGAGTTGCTGGAAAAAGAGAGGCAGTGGGAGGCTTGGAGAGGTGCCCTGGAGGACGAAAAAAGCCAAGCCGAGAGACGCACCAGAGACCTGCAGAGACTGCTGGACAATGAGAAGCAGAACAGGTAACACACAAGCATGAACACAAAGTTTACTTACACTGTGTTATTATACATATACATTGCTCTTGTAACACTTGCTATTGTGCTGGATACAGGCTGCGTGCAGACCAGCGCAGCACTGAGTCTCGCCAGGCAGTGGAACTGGCAGTCAAAGAGCACAAGGCTGAGATACTGGCCTTACAGCAAGCCTTGAAGGAGCAGAGACTGAAAGCTGAAAGTCTGTCTGATACTGTGAGTCACAAGTGATTGTGTGTCTTACTTATGATCGATCTTTAATCCCTGTAAGTGAAACAACAAATATTTGTTTTGAGAGGGGAAATCCATGCTATGTTTGTAAATTCAACTCTCATCTGCAACGATTTAACGTGCACTCACATGTTCACACAGCTCAATGATCTGGAGAAGAAACACGCCATGCTGGAGATGAATGCCCGCAGCTTACAGCAGAAACTCGAGACAGAGAGAGAGCTGAAACAGAGGCTGATGGAAGAGGTAGAAAGTGAAATGTGACCGCACAAACACACATCTGTATTCATAACATTTGAATTCCATTTATGATATGACCTTGTCTACTATTTAATCAAAAACATGAAACCAAGGAGAGCATTTTTAAAGGAATGAACTTGAATTTAACTGTGGATCTCCTGTTTGGGGTTTCTGTGTGAGACAGCTCCTCTAAATTCAGTTAATTGCTACCAGTCTGAAATGTGGCTGATTTTAAATTAGTTTTCGTAGTTTAAATATCCGTGTCCCTACAGCAGGGGAAGCTGCAGCAGCAGATGGACCTACAGAAGAGTCACATATTCCGTCTGACCCAAGGCCTACAGGACGCCCTGGACCAAACCGACATGCTAAAGACTGAGAGGACCGATCTGGAGTACCAGCTGGAGAATATACAGGTGCTCAGTGCAATACATTACAATTTGAAGAAATACAGCAGTCTCTAGGGAGAAAGAGAGTCCTAGTTAGATATTACAATAGTGTGACGGATGTTGGCAAGTGTCTCAAGGGTACCAAGATGATATAGGAATCCTAATTCATGTGTTCTCAAAGGGGATTCTTTTAAAGTTGTCTACTGAGGTATTTCCTTCTCTGAAGATCTGTGTTCCCTCCTGCAGGCTGTATACTCCCACGAGAAGGTGAAAATGGAGGGGACCATCTCCCAGCAGACCAAACTCATTGACTTCCTCCAGGCCAAAATGGACCAGCCCACAAAGAAAAAGAAGGTCTGGGAAAGAATTTTATGACTTGATAAACATCTTCTATCTAAAGATTTGTATGTTTATTGTTTTTCTTGCATAGTTTTAGTAACATGTCTCCTCTCTGAGCAGGGTATATTTGGGCGGCGTCGGGAAGATGTAGGCACCACGACTAATGGGGCATTGGCTCCACAGGCCCAGCCAACAGTTCCCCTGCAGTACGGTGACATGAAGTTGGCTTTGGAGAAAGAGCGCTCAAGGTGCGCAGAGCTGGAAGAGGCTCTGCAGAAGATGAGAATAGAGCTACGATCCCTCAGAGAAGAGGGTAAGTCCTACTGTTAAGCAGCACAGTAACCCCAGATATAAGACCGGCTTTATAGGCAGCAAGGATTGAGATGATACTCTAACCCTGGATTATCGTCCTTCCATAGAGAGGGCCAAAATCAAACAGTCCCTGTTTGTGAAAAGAGTTTTTAATATATATTCTAGTATAGAGATAGTAAGAGAGGTTGCTTTAACTCTGGTTATCATATTTGTTTTTAATAAAAGTCATACCATCATGAAGGTAGGTAGGTTTGCCATCTGAGATGAGTAATGACAGCCTAAGTCAGCTCAAGAAAACGTGTTTTGTGCCTCCTCCCTTATCTGTTCCCAGACGTATTTTAACAGTTGCCATGGCAGCATCCTGTTCCATTACCTACACCTGCCAGGTCCTATGAGATTCATTTCAGAAGCTATTAGTTTTTTGGTAATGGAGCCATATATTTTCAGCTTAATGGCTATTACTGATCTAATATTAGGTTGTTTTATTTGTTTATGGTGATACAGCGGCTCATTTCAAAGCCCAGGAACATGTGGCTCCTTCCACGCCCGCCCAGGCTCGACATCAAATCCTCATGTCAGCCATTGTCAAATCCCCAGAACATCAACCCAACCCCAGCAGCCTGCTCAACCCCTCCACCCGCTGCAAGGAGACCTCCACACCTGAAGGTCAGTCTCTCTCTCTCACACACAC